GTTTTCTTTTGTTCAATGTTTCATAAAAGGAATTTGGCGAAATGAGTTCGTGAGCGGTCCATCTTTGCGGTCCGTATTGCAAAATTCGGACCGCTCAGCGAACCAATCAGAATGCTCCTTTTCGTCGTGGACCAGTTTGCCATATAATAAGAGACCGTATTACACGGGTCTCAGTCCCCCTGACCACGCGCTACGGAAAACTCTGTTGAAAGCCTATATTTTTGTAAAGAATTATGTCGTATAATAAACAATTTATTCAGCGGAATGTTGTGTAATACGGCTGGGAATTTTTACTCGTCAGTGTTTATTTTTTCTCGCCTAAAGGCTCGAAAAAAATAAAAACTGACTCGTAAAAATACCCAGCCGTATTACACAACTTTCCGCTGAATAACCTCTTTGTATACCTCGTTCTAAAAGTGTGAGGCCACAAACACGCTTACACGTAGAGCGTATTATTCGTCTTTTCGCGCGCGCCTGCAGACCAAAGGGCGACGCCAAACAAACCACCGGTGTATCGGCCTCGTTATAAAAGTGTGAGCCCACAAACACGCTCACGATTCGCAGTGTGTATTCTTCGTTCTTTAGACTGAACTTCGACTCCTGTTGGGAGAACTCTGAATTTTTTTTCCAAGTAGCTTGTATTACTGACTATTCTAATTCATATCGATTTAAAATTTAAGCTACGGAAATCGCGTCGATATGAAATCTCGTGGAGATAGCAAAATTAATTCGCCATTAGTAATCAGTTAAATATTATTATTCTCTGGTCTATTTCGGATCTTTTCTTTGTGCCACCCTCCCGACGTTGACATAAAAACTAGGGATCTGAAGGAAACTACTATCGTCTAGTTAAATACTTGCAAGGTCCAGAATGAGTACATGTGGCTACTATTTCCCTAGCTACCAATGTATTGATATATTACAAGAAAAAATTAGATTCTTAAATTTTCTTATTTTATACAGATGTAATTTATCTCAAATCTTTGTATTTTTATATTTTTAACTTTTTATCATTTAGACATGCCGTAAGGTTTATATGTACTTTATATTTATCTGGGCCTCTATTGATAACAGTTTTAATTGTAAAAACTGAAGGAGTTACCCTGTAAAAATAAAGGCTTATTACTTACTATGTTCATATCTGTAGGGAATTAAAAGATTTGAGCAAACCAAGTTGTAGATTGTTGACTTGTTGAAAACCATGGCAATGTATTTCGAATTTAATAGAGCGAAAGTAATCCAGAATTGCTGGATTACTTTCGTTTTGCTTTACTACGATCTGTGATTGGTTTAAAACACTCGCGCCACATAATCAACCAATGAGATGCAAAACCGAAATCAATCATGACTTGGTCACCCACTTAGCGTTGGCGAGCTCTTATTGGTTCATTGTGTTGCTTACGTTTGTTGTGATTGGCCATTGGAATTACTTTGGTCATGTTTGGGTTTTACGACACTCAGTTGAAAACCACTCTATTACATATCGTATCATGTACTGCGAATACAGTCGAACCCCCATTAAGCGGCCACCTATGGAGCGCCCACCCCCTATTAAGCGGCCAGTTAACAAAGTCGCGAAACTATTGTCAGTATAATACTGTAAATAAAACCCCTATGAAGGCGGGACGTTCACGTTTCAAGCAATCCAAAAACTCTATGCTCATCCCATGAATCTATGTTATGGGGTGTTTTGTAAATTTTTGGGTGATTTTTGCGTATGTTTGGGAGGAAATAGATTTTCTCAAAGGATATGTAAAATTTAGGGAAATAAGAAATATTGAAGATTTAATGTAGTTTTAAAATTAGAATATGAAGTTAAAAATTAGTAGCTGGACACCAACAGACAGTTGATAACCACGCAAGGTTAAGTGGCAAATCGGTAATGATTGGTTGAAAGACTATCTTACGAACAAAAAGCAAATTGTTAAAATACAATAATGTGAGATCAACGGAAATGACTATTAAAATGTGGAGTTCCTCAAGGGTCTGTTCTTGGAGCTGTTTTGTTCTTTATTTCGTGGTGTGTAATAGGCCATTCTGCCTCTGTTTCAAAACGATTCCGAGTGCGAAACCTTTCAAATGAAAATGAGTTTGATTTGCATTTGAATGAACTTGTGAGTAAAACTCATTTTCATATGAAAGATTTCGCACTGAGACTCGTTTTGAAACAGAGGTAAAGGACACTCGATCGGAAATGGCTCATTTTATATTGTATCAGTTTTACTAGATAAATACGTTACTTGCTCAATTTCTCTACTCTATAATTATATCGAGTCTGGTCTTCTTTCCTTCCCCGAACAACGGCTTGATAGATCGAGCCTAAAGACGTGATCGACAATTTAATACGAGTCTGGCAAAAATGCCTGCAAAAAGCCAATTCTTTAACTATATTCTTGTTGAGTTAGCTCGTTTTCTGCACACACAGGTGGAAATAGTTCAAGTGATGACTAACTAAATTCAGCTGGACAGCACAGCAAAAGCGATTTTGTTTGTTTAGTACAATAGAAAATAGGCCAATATTCCTACTACCGGAAATGAGATTCGAAAATAAGGAACAGTTCATTTATATTGACTTTATTAGTCACTTTTCTTGACTATTGACCGCGTTCTCTGCTTATTAAAGCAGTAAATATAATTGATGTCGATAAACGTTTTGTTGATAACTCTTTTTGTTCAGATAGATTAATAACATTTTGCTAAAACATGCAAATGGGTTACAATTTTACCTCAAGTTATAACTTATCTCGTCTTCGGCCGTCACTTTTCATAAGGAAGTTACTTCGTGAAAGACAAAAAATGTTCAGTACTAAAAATATTACTATTTTACTGAGAAATCATTTTTTTATTCTATTATATCTTTGCTAATAGTATTCATTGTGCAGATTTAATAAAATTTCACTACAAATGCAAATAGGTTTATACAATTTTATATATTAACTTATCTCGTCTCTTAGCCGTCGCGTTTCATATAATCAAGGTTGTAAACAGAATTTGCCCGGTCTAATCGTGCAGACTAGTAAGCTACAATATTGACTCAGAGATGGAGTTACCACACCGACGTATATCAAAAGATAGAACGTTCTGGGTAAATAAAACTGAAGTCACGAGCGGGAATAAATTATTTATAGCATATGACAATTATTCACGGGTATTTCGGTATTAGTTAGCGCCGGGAACCAGCAGTAATTCAGAAATAAAGCTGTTACGGAGAAACCTTCAAAGCGAACTTAACACAATTTTAAGGGACTTTTCTTGAAATATTTTTCCATTAAGTTTAGCTAAGTTTATATCTTTTGTCTGATTTTTTTGCAAACGCGTGACGAAAACATAATACTGCTCTTAATGTAAACTACGTGACGGCTTATTGCCAAAATATTTGCTTTTCCAGAGGGACCGTCTTGCACTTATATTAGTAGAGAACACGTAGCCTCTTACCTAAGATTGTTCCAGCATTTGTCGCTGAAACACTATAAACTAAAGCTGAACAAAGCTGAGTTTTAAAGAAACAAAACATTGCGTTTAACGGACGACCGATGAGAAACCTTTACTTACTCAGGGATATGGAAAAACAAAGCCATTTTCGTGGCGGCAAACGCTCCGTAAGGCACCTGCCTACTATAACAGAAGAAGGCGATCGCGACGAGACTCTTCTGCAGAAGAGACTTGTAAAAGATGAAGAAAGACGAGAAGAAATAACCCAACTAATGAAATCTAGTGACAAGTACCATCACAGCATACGGAATAAAAGAGATACGGAATGCCAAGAACTCACAAAAACGAAGACTGTTTTATTCCGTCATATCAACAGTTTTACCGATGATCAACGAACATTGAATGAGCACCTTAGAACATCAAAGCTAGAGACTGAACAATGGAAGGATATGAATACAGCTAAAGCTCTTTTTCCAGATTTCTTTCCACGAACAGCAATACAGGACACTTGTGAAGATGGCTGGTGGAAAGCGAGGCCGACGATGGAACAGGTTTTTTCAAAACAGAACAATACCGACTTTTCGGAGAAATCCGAGCTTCACCATGATGCAAACTTTCAATACTGGAAAATATATCAATTATCTTTCTAATGATATATGGCGATGATCAGGATGAGTGGGAGTTTTATTAATTTTTTTATTACTGAACAGTGAAAAGAGCCCGAGAAGGAAAATAAACAAAGAACGAATCGATGAATTGAATCCGTGGGAACTTTGCTCGTTATGAAAATTGTAATAATAATGATAATAATATGTGCGTTTATTGACATATGACAGACTTAAGATTGAGCGATAGTGGCAACGCATGCAGGTACAGGAGATGGAATTTGAAGTAATTCGTGCTATGATGCGACTTCTTTTAATTACAGAAACTAGTATTTAGATAACTGTACCAATAAGAATAAAAAAAATGAGAAAAATGAAACAAATGCCTGATGACTGACTCTCTCGACGTGATCCCATAGACAGGTCGAAAGCGGCTTTCAATTGAGTGTCGAAAGTAAACATGCGTTTGCTTCGGCTTTACTTTACTACGCTCTCTGATTGGTTCGAAAAACTAGCGCCACTTTCTTAACCAATCAGATGCCAATGAATTAATTATTTAACTAAAGGAAATCGTGACTTTGTCGTACACGTTTTACTGCACTTGGCGGTTACGTGTATTGCTTCGAGTTCTGATTGGTTCCTTGCGGTTGTTTTCGTCTGTTGTGATTGGCCAGAGTGATAACTTTTGTTTTGGTTTTACTTACCGTTCTATTCTTCAAATGCTGAACAGATTGCCATGAAGTTGATCACTTGTGAAATAAAAGCAGAGCAACGTCAAAGTCGGAATTATTTTTCCGAGTAGGTTGTGGCACTAACTGAATAATGTATTTCACATTGTGTTTCTACCAAGCTTATCATCATTTCTTTCCAAACATATCTCACATATCGACAAAACTAATACTAGCAGTATGCGGTTAGTTTGTCACACTCGAACCTGCAGTTGTATGGCCGAGCTCCCACGAGTCTCCTGTAGCTCAGTGGTAGAGCGTCCGACCGGTGTGCGGATGATCTTAGTTTCGACTCCTGTTGGGAGAACTCGGAATTCTTGTTCCGAGTAGCTTGTGTCACTGATTAAATCATATCTTTCTCATTGTGTTTACAACATTTACCATCATTTCTTTCCATCAAAGAAACTGTGCATGTTTATTTTTAAAGGAAGAATTGGACAATTATCTATTGCTCCATGACATCGTGTATTTTCTTAGTTAGTCAAACTTGGTTTCTAATCATTTTATGCCCAACTGCACCACTACAGGTTTATTTAACCTGAATCTGATTCTCCACATTATAAAATCACATAATATAAGCACTCGGTCCTCTTCTACGCTGGGAGTTTCTTTGCGTGAATAAATTTTGTATTTTCTTTTGTTCATTCGCTTGTGGTATCTATTATTGTCGATCAGCTGGTCACAACAATAAGAAACAACATTTAATATGTGTCTGCGCCTGCATCTCAGCGTGGCTGCCATCGCTATAATTGTTTTTCTTTGTGATACAGCTTAAAATTGCATTTTTTTTGTGGCGGCTAGAGCTTTATGGCTTTAAAGCTTCGAATTTGTAAATGGTGTACAAATTCGTTTGTTGTCACACGAGAACGAAAATAATGCTGACGAGAACCTTTCGTCCATTTCTTTCTTCTATTGAAATCAACTTGGAAGATGAAATACTGTTTTGCATGCATGTGGATACAGATGTAAACACCAGGTTTATCTCAGGAGAACTGAGGCGTAGTGCTTAAAATAGCATCCATTTATCAATAAAAATACCGTGCACTTAATTAGGTGTTCTATATACATAGCTTTTAAAATCATTTCTCCCAGACAAGAAATATATGTGGGCACTTTTTTTAACAGAGTACGGCTTATTTTTTCTCGGTTTGACCATATTTGGTATTTCGCTCAGTGAAATATCAAGTTTATTTTGAATAATTTTATCTTTATGTCTATCTGCCTGATGTGTATAGTTTTCTATCAAACGTTTGTCATCAATGCTACCATGAAAGTAATGAAAAACGTTCCAACTCAAGAGTGCCTTCTAATGCTTCACAAAAGAAACAACATTTTACGAATCTAAAAACACAAGCTAGAACGGCATCAGATCTTGAATCATCATAACGAACGAGGACTGCATGTAAGCACCAGTAAACACATTTACTGCATGAGATAATGTTATAACTGGATCACGTTTCATGTCTTTCCTTTACTTGTTTCGTTTTTGTTTTAATTTTTTGTTTAGTTTGTATGTCTGCCAGCCTTAAAGCATCGGTTAACACATTTACTGAGACAATTTTAATTGTTATGAGATGGATCCAATTTCATTAAGACTTGCGCCCTTTAATTTCCTTTGCTTGTTTTTATTATTATTAGTTCTAGTTTGAACTTATTTTATTTTGTGAAAGAACTGCCAGTTGTATTGAAAGTATTCAATGCTATTAAAGCCAGAGATAACAGAAGAACATCAGAACGTTCCTTGAGCAGCTGACCTAATAGATTGCGCCATCTTGGAAAGAAAAAATAGTCTACCATTGTCAAAGTGTCGTTTTCTTGACACAGTGAATAATCAAGAACAATCCATAGTCTGCTAAAAGGAGAGCACTAAACATATTTAACAAACGAACAAACAAGATTGATGTCTAGACTACAACAGGAATATGCTGGAATTGTCGTCAAACTCAAAATAGGAACATAATATCAAGCTGCGGAAAAGGCAGATTTTGAATAAGCACGCCATGCGCTCTACTACTGCATACAAAAACGGTTAACAGAGAAAGCTAGAACCTTCTGGGCTATTCTATGCCAATCACAAGATCACGAATCCGAAGCAGAAGCCAAATAGTTCCTTCAGTAACCATAAACGAATTAACGTCCAAGAGCTTTATGTTCTTCAATGAGTTTATATGTTTATACAGTTCAATGAAAAACTCAGGGACTACTAAGATCAATGGTTCAACACGCGAGCGTGATGGAGACGTGACCATGCTGACGTAATAGGCACGAAACGACTGCTGAAATAAAACTCGGTACGTTTCAGGAGAACAAAGCTCAGTTTCGATCCAGATATCATTTCATTGTGGCGGTCATGCAATGCTTTTAGTTTTCAATTATAGCACATACAGAAAGTAGTACATCAGTGGCTTTACAAAAGAACTTTGCATGAAGGCGATAGTATCTGAGGCTTGAATAATTATGGTATGACAAAGTGCAGCAATGAATCAAACACGAGAAGAATGCATCAATGAAGTAGGAAACCTTCTTAAAAGATCGAAAGCTCATGATAATGGCTTTATGAATACGGAGCTGGAGATAACCCATCTAGAAAGCAAAAGGACTGCAAAGGAAAGGCTAAGTATTATACACGAAGAAACCCCAAACAGACTGCAGCACAGCAGGGAATGCTTTAGTGAAAATGACTGCCGTGCAGGAAAAACTCAAGGCAAAAACCTCCCTAGCAGGGTGGCGAAAGGAAGTTTTGCGAAGACTCTAGACTCTGTGGATGTAACAGTGCACAATTGTTTTGCGAGAAATGTCAATGTCTTGATCGGCGCGCCGCGTGCACCGTTGAGAAATCGTACAACAAGAAAATCCCTTTTCCAGGCAGGAAATAAGGAAAAGGACATGACTGCGGCCAAAGATTTTTTCCCAGACTTCTTTCCACGACAACTAGTACAGGATAGTTATGATTGCTTGCAAGCGCGACCAACACTGGAACAGATATTTTCAGGACAAATCAAGTCTTAACTGGCCTTGCGGAAATTGACAGCGATCGAGCAATGAGATAAAAAGAGCTTGACTGAGTCGGCGAAAACAGTTCCGTCCTCTTGGCAATTTGACAATAGTCTCTTCCGAGAATTACAAGAAGTCAAATTCCCTGCAGGGATAGGTAAACGAAAATTTGCATAACATAAAATAAATGACGAAACACAAGAAACACAATGGTGTAGGATAGCACTGTGATATCTCTGTATATTCTTGCTTTTTGAAATTTTTCAGTTTTGGATTTTCCAATCAGTTTTGTTATAATTTCTCGACATTTATTGTTTTTGCAGTCTCGAGGTTTTTTTTAATGATGATTAATTATCGATAACATATCCGTGGACAGCTCGAGACACGCATATATAAAAACCCAAGAAAACATAATATGTTGCCTTTAAAATCGAGCCAGACGAAATGTTTTACTTATATCGTGCCATACAATTGATAAGTCGTTATTTATCACAACGATTCCTCTGTTAAATAGATAGTGGTATCATCAGAGATAAATACAAATGTTACCTATGTTTGGCATTTTCAGTCTGGTTAAAACGGCAGCCCAGTAATTTGTCGTTTTACATCACTTCCCCTCCCAGACTTAGTAGCGAATTTGATTTTCTTTTTCATTTTCTAAAATTTTAATAATAAGCTAAATCAGGCTAAATGTTTTGGTTTTGATCCGCAAGTAATTTTGATTTGACTGTAATATGTTATATTACCTTTACCGAAATCATAATTCACTTTTGGACGCCATTTTGATAGGCTTGCATAAATTATTGAAGATGAAATTGTTCTTAGCCACTCGATCTTATTCCAAATAAAAAGCAATAAAACCTAAACGTTTTTTATTATTATTAAAATTACATACATTTAATTTACCGCATTTCAGTTTGTCAACTGTTTTTTAAACAACCATAAAACATTCTGTCAAATATGCAGATTGAGTTTGGTTGCAGTAAGGGGTGTTCCTTCACTTATAAACACAACCCATATAAATGAACACATAAGTAGGCGACGGTCAACGTATATAATGTACCTTGTGGTTAAATCATTCGGTGAACCAGTGGTGTAGTCTTTGTCTTTCTCCTGGATTTTCTGTCTGGCAAAAGAGAAACTCCTTTAACGGAACTCTTCAAAACGCCTTTATCGTTTAAACAAAGCACACACGATTTTATTGCAGTTTTTTCATTTTTTCATTGGAAATGTGAGAAGATATAACTACTTGTAGGGTGGTAACCTGAAATTTTGACTTTGAACCCTATCCTACCTGTTGTTAGACCGTGACGTCTGCGTTTTGTGGAGAACCTGAACCATACTGAAAGGGAGAAATTTTAAGTTTAAATTTGGAATTGAATGCTGTCTTCACATATTCAGCTTGAGATAGCTCTGACACCGATTGACAATAAATTGAATGGATGTGAATTATCGCGAGATTCTTAAGTAAAATATAAATTAATCGACGTTGTCCTTGGCGTCGCCTTGGCGTAACCGTCGTGGCTGCTTTTGACACTGAGTGGCGTATCCAGAGTAATCCGTCCTCCACCCTTTTACTCCGGGCCCCCACCTAGTGCTCAAGTCTGAATCATTGTATTTTTTTTTCTATTTCTATTTTAATTTCAGTTCGCTTTCTATCTGTATTATTCTACGCTTTTGCAAGTGGTTCCCTTTCTTGCATCACTTATACTTTTATTTAATTATTTCCACCTTATAGCTTAAACCTGATTTTCATGTCGGGAAAATCCCAGACTATCGGGTAATTTGTTATTTCCCGACCGTCACAGACATTCCCGACTCAGGGAGACAATGGCAGACATCTACCTCGTCGTGTTTTCATACGTCGGGAATGTCTGGAACGGTCGGGATTTTCCCGACATATGAGTGAACCTGGCTTAATCGTTTCATAACTCTGGGAAGGGGTAGGGGGGGGGGGGGGGGGGGGGGGGAGAAGAGGGAGGGGTTATTTCAAATCATAAATCAGCTAGCTAGCAGACACGAATACATGTAGTTGATGATTACTTAATGTGATAACGCTGCTCTACACACACAAATAATTAATAATACTGCGAAAAATATATAATTAGTGGACAGATCGATAACTCTAAAAACATATATTTTATAATAATACATGTACTTCTAAAAACTTTGGGAAGGGGGATGTAATAAAAAATAATAGAGAGGCTAGGGGGGCTTGAAAAAAAAATCCAAAAAGTCATTACTAATTCATAAAGAACATACAAAATAAATGAATGTTTAACGAGTGTCTTTATATATTTGATAAACATATGG